AGAAGAAAGCTACTTAAAACGCCTAAGCCGACTAATATTGTCATAAAATTTGAGGTATAAGAGTTACAGAACAAGACTATCCGGAATTTAAAAGCACTAAAGTACACTTCACGATACATAAGAAGTTAAATAAAAAAGAAAATGACCTTAATGAAGAGCGATAATCAAAAAAATTTGCTTAATGGTCTACATCCTTGGATTGAAACTCATTTGACTACCTTTTCTTCATATAGTTAGAATATGTTTCGTAACAATATAGCTCTGTAGCCAACACTGGTCCTCGCTAACGCTACAAGGGTTGAAACAAGAAACTGAAGTGTAGTTAAACTTAGAATTTTCAGTATTCAATTGAATTTCTTAACAAAAAAAAACACAATTTCTTCACAATTTCTATGTTCCGTAGTTATGAAGCAGTAAAACGTCAATAACCACAGAAGCTTACAATTTTTTTTCAAAGAGAAAAAGTAAAATAAATCTATCTTTCCTCTTTCCTTGAGTTGGGCTAGCTTGTATTTGCTACAAGATGTGGAAATCGTGTTTGTTAGAGTCTGGTTCTATATATTAGCAGCGTTAGTATTGCACTGCCTATGGCAATTATCCATGTGGTCATTGAAGCAGGTGTGTGCTAAAAAGCTTCATAGAAAAAAGGAAACACAGTAGAACATTTTCGAATAGCAGAGGTGCAAAGTACCAAATAAGTATCATCTTACACATGCATATAGTTTGTCTACTTACTGATCTGATTATAGCCGAGCGAAAGCCAGGAAGATAAAAAAGCCCATTGTATAGCACATAGAGGATAGCAATCTAGCGATGTTTTCTGCTTTGCTAGAATAGAGGTTTGTAGAAGAAAATCTCTGACACATTTGTGACCCTAAATTCCATACCTCCTATTTGGTTTTGGAGTGCAGGAGACAAAGGGAACGCAGTATTCGATTTTGAAATCGCGACTACTCGTCATCGTCTGGTTATCAGAGAAATCTTGAACATCAAGTAACAACTCTTCTCGCCTTCAAATACTAGCAATTATGCAAGAAAACAAAGAACAAATAGTTAAACTTTTCCAGCCAATCCAATTTGGCTAAAATTTAAGCGTCTTAATCATAATCTTATAAATAACTCTTACATTTTTTTTGTTAACGCACGTATAACGGTTGAGACGAGTGAAGTATTTTGTTTAAGATTAACAACTTTTCACGAGTTCCATTCGATTACGTACAGAAATTATAGGAAACTTTCTCTGAATAAAAACAAATTAATTAAAATTTTATTTTGCAACTTGCAAAAGGGAGAATGGAATAAATACACACATCTCATCTATTAACATGTGATATGACATAGAACATCTCAAGTGAAATCCTTAGGCTATTTACAAACAAGAGAAAAGTCGACGGAAATAAGATCTGCTCTAGCAGTACGAGGCAGGCAATGCGAGCATAAAGGTGACATCAAACAACATGATAAGACAGTGAGAAGATGCGAAAAAAAGCTGAACAGAAACCGGGGATGTCTACCGAAACAGCAACAGTTTGTTAAGCACCATCGACGTTTAGTGTGCGTGTGTGTGGGCAGCTCTACGTTTTTATACATGAAATGAGCAATATTCGGGAAAAAATCGGCCCGTGATCAATCTACCGTACGGGAATTTGCTGCTGTTGATAATTAGCGTAGTTTATTTTGTTATACAGCAAGCGTACTATGTAATTACAATGAGCGCACTGTTAGATACAATAAGACGCGATAATAAGACGTTATTTAGCTTTACAAGTCATGATTTTTAGCTTAAAAAACTCCGTTTGGTATTAGCCCATCAACCTCTCAAACTTTCGTCTCCGGCCCAATATTTTCGGAACTTGACTGGAACGATTCGCGCAATCGAATCATCTGTCTAGCAACAATATTACCGTAGACTTTATTGTACCAGGCTGGACCTCGTCCTCTGAAATTAGTGCATTGTTGGGAAACTTACCAAGAAGCTATATTTTCTCACCTCAAATCAATCCTTGAGATATAAGTAACTCGAGAATGCCCAGCTTTTGGCTCAATAAGGAAGTGACTATCGAGGACTGCTGCAGATGTCCCGCCAAGTAGTTGCGTCTCACTACACTGAACGCTACGTTCCGCAATTGCACACGCACCACGAATTTCCGAAAGATCCGCTTTATGGAAGCTGGAATTTGCAAAAATTTGATAAAATAAGGAGTCATATAATCCTAAAAAATTGAGCTTTCAAAAGAATTTATAAACTCAATGTAATAATAACAGCATTTTAGGAGCACTGTCAGCTAAGAATTCTGAAAGTTTCTAGGCATTGTCTTAAAGTGCAGATGCCTATGGAGACATAGTTAGGAGCAGCTACAACAACCAAAACGCAATTCTGGCAATAACTTGAACTGACCGAGCGACAAAACAGTCTCTTGTTGGATGTCCCACAGTATCGTTAAGAACGTATTGATGTAAGTCTGTATCTGGAGCTTGTAAGACGTCAATAGTTCGCCAATTCACAACAGATGTGTCCCAAACGCTTCTGAAGAATAAAGTGAAATAAGACAGAATTCGAGAAAAAAAAAGTTTGTAGATAAGATTTAATTCTAAAATCAAAAGAGGTAGGCCCATTTTCCCTACCTTTCTCTCATAATTCTATTCATCACTTGTTTTGGTGGTGCTGCTACATCCACCCATACGCGAAACAGCCTCAGCGGATGATCCTCATTTGGCATTTTGCATGAGATTTCCACATCCTCATGGATACCTTCGAATATCCACGACTTCCAGCGATCGGAATGATCCTGAAATAGAAATTTTTTTAGCAGAGAGGATTGACATAAAAAGGAAACAATTGTAGATGGCGTGTGAGATCTATGATGAAGTAAATAACAACGTGGAATTTGATCAAAACTCGAAATCAGAAACCAATCGGTTTTTTAGACATCTAAGCATGGTGTGTGAATATGATGGGAGTTGTTTATCTACAGCGATGAAACCTACAAATAGCCACAAATGAATTGCAGCAGATTTTAAAAATTTCTTGGCAAGGTATATAGAAATCTAGAAAGTAATCCACAGATTTTAAAAAAATGACACTATGTATAACAACTTCATAGCCCGCCCCGCACTGAATTACAAATCTGAGCAAATTGTCAAATTAGGACATACATTCCGTCGCTTATTAAAGCTATAGAAAATTCAAGAATTTGACGGCAGTTGTTTTGGCTGAATGAACTCAAGAAAAGTCTAGATTTACGTACCCTAATCAAATCGTTTACGCGATCAATTAGAAAAGCTCGTGGACCACGAAGACCGAGTTCTTTGAGTAGCGGTGCATCACTATCGGCATGAATTCTGCAATGGTTTCGTTTTCTTTAAACAAGTACAAAAGCATTATCATTACTGATTGCTTGCCTATCCTCCGGTCCAGATTCAGCAGCTAGGAACACACTTCGGCAGTTTTGAATCATATAAGTGAGACATTGCTGAGCAGCTCTCGTCTCACGCATCTCTCGTTCCGTTGGCATTCCAGCTGCTCCGATAGTCTTGTGCCTCCTAAAATAATTCAATGTTAGTAAGTTTATATTTATTAAACTTTTTTCTATTGTATTCTATAATGCAACAATATTACGTATACTATTATTAGACTGATAGTACAGTGATTTAGCATAAAACATTGGGGCACATAATTTACTAACCGTATGTTATTAGTACTTAGGTTGCAGAGAGATAACGACATCGCTTGTATTTGTTTGCACTTCTTTAACCACAATCAGGATGGTAACATCAGCTTTACTGCCCAACAACTACGAGGGTATCATTCCAAGATTCATAGAGAATCGAACTTTGAGCTCAATCATATCATTGCGTTAGCGTAAACCGCAGCATAACAGTATATTTGTACTTATTGAATGGAATAAGGATGAGATACTTATTATTGGAACTTTGCGCCGTGATCCCAAAGGTAGTCTATACAGTCGGGGAAAAAGTGTGAACTAGTGAAATTTCTACATTTACCCTTTACACATCAGGTTAAAGAAGGAATGCGTGACCTAAACACGATTGGATGCATTGTTAGGGTTGTAACCTTAGGTGCGATTGACTAAGAACTGGATTTTTATTTCTTTTTTCTACCATTTACCTTCATTTACTATTTCACTAGTCAAACATATCTCGTTTTTCTCATCCTTAAAGCTGACCAACACTT